CGCCCACCCGCGGCTGCCGGCGCTGCCTTTCGGTCTCGGGGAGTGATTCTGACCCCAGCGCGAGTCGGTCGACTCGCCCTTCAAGTGGGGATCTAGCAGCCCCGCCAGGTGCCGTTTTGGCGCTGAGATGGGCTTTTTTTTTTTCTTTTTTTTAAAACACCTGTTATCTTTTGAAGAAAAAAAGCATCAATCCGCATTCTCTTGGGCTTTCCCTGATGTTGCCACAGCTGGGAGAATTGGAAGAATGATGCTACCTGGGACCTGGGTGGCGCCTTCGTAATCCAGAGTGTCTTTCGATTTTAACTAGGGAATTACCGAAATGGAGGCTTAATTTTTTTCCCCCGGGAGCTTTTGGCATTTCGGATTTCGTAAATCTGTTCTCTCCTGCTCCTCCCCGCAAATATGTAAATAAATATGTGTATATTACATTTTTATTAGAAAAGATGGCCATTATAGAAAATATAGAAATAACTGGATGTAAAGCTCACTCATAATCTTGCGCCCAAGAAGACGCTATTAAATTTTGGTTTTACGTGTTATATTCTAGTATATTATTTTTGCATATACATATATGTGGTCTTTTTTAAACAAGTCATACTGTACGTGCTGCTTTGTATGTGCCTTCTCTCATTAAATAATAGATTGTAAACATTCCATGACATTAAATATTTTCCCACAACGTTATCGAAGACTGCATTGTATTTGGTTGTCCAAGTGTACTGTAATTGATTTCAGCAATTCATTGTTTTGGTCATGAAGTCACACATTTTTCAGTTGTTTTGTTTTGTTTTTCATCAACAAAACTACTGGGAACATCCATTATTATCTCTTCAGGTTAGATTTCTACAAGTGGATATTCACTCTTAAGTCCTGCATTTGTCTTGCGAAATTGCACTTGTCAAAGGTTGAGACATGAAAATCGCAGTGCTTCTAAAATTTCCTTTTCCCTAGATTTTTACCAACACTGATTATCATTTTGCCAATTTAATAGATGAAAAATCTACATCGTTTTATGTTATCTTCATTGGACTTTTAGTGTGGGCTAATATTTTATATTTTGTGTACTGGTCAATTATATTTCTTTTGCTGTAAATTGCCTATTTATGCCTTAACTTATTTGTACTCACATGGGCAGCCTTAAAATATTTATTTGTAAGAATTTTTGTAACAGGAAGCATATTAACTCCTATTTAATGTTGCAGATATTTCACAAGTTTATCTGCTTTTTCTGACATAGGAAAATAAACCACTTTTGAATTTAATGTACAGTGCTTAAGTTCATCAATCATTTTCTTTACGGTTTTCTGTCTTTGGAGCATTGAATGGAAAGGCTTCCCCTACTCCTAGGATAATTTTAAAATGTATTATATAACCTTGCAATATTTTTTTGTTTTAAAAAATCTTATTGTGAAATAGATATGTAACATTCATCCCATTTACCTTACTATAAAATATTTACCTTGTACAAAAAAGTAAAAAGAATAAAACAATGAACAGTCATAATCTTACCACTCAGTTTAAGAAACAAAACTTTACCAGTGCAGTTGAAATTTACTTGTATACTTTTACTTGTATAGTTGAAATTTACTTATGTACTTTTTACAATCCTGTTCTTTGGCAGTATTAACCCCTACTCTGAAGTATGTATTATTCTCATATATTTCTTTGTACTTTTATGACATACGTGTGTATGCCTATGCAACATCTTGTGGCTTCATTTTTAACATTCAGTCATCAGCAATTCATTTTAGAGTGCTGCCTGAAGTAAGTACTTAAATTATTTTCTCAAAAGGTAACCAGTTGTTCCAATGATATTTACTGGATAATCCATATTCTTCAGAGGTTTGAGATGCCACTTTTATCAGAGCCTGAATGTGGGTTTCTGGATTAGCCATTCTATTTCAGTTTATTCCTGAACAACACTGTTAGAATTGTTATGAATATCTCACATTTTAAAGTCTAGTAGAACAAATCATTGTTATGCTCACTTTTCACAATAGTTTTCCCTATTCTTTCAGGTAAGCTTTGAGATTGTTTTGTGAGATCTAAAAACAAAATCTTACTGAGAAGTCAATTGGGAGTACATTAGGTTTACATACTTAGTTTTTGAGATTTGACACCTTTCAAATATTGTGATTTCCCATCCTCTCCCTAGTTGTGACTCCGATTAAATTTTTGTAGCCTTTTTCCTCTAGGTACTGCACCTATGTATTGTTTTAATTTTTAAATATTTTGGACTTGATAATTATCTTTAGGCTTTTAATTTAGAACTCCTTTATTATTTTATAACTTCAAAATAGATGTTACAATTTGATTGGACAAATTCCTCTCAGCATTATTTACCAAAAATTTCCTTTTGATTCTCTCTTTATTCTTCCAGATAAACTTTTAGATTATTGCTTCAAATTTCATTAAGACTTTGGTTTACATTAAAGTTATGGGTATTTTAATATCCCTAATACTAATAGCTAATATGTATTAAATGCTTACCAGGC